ATTTCAAACATATGTGTGCCTGTCTCCCAACTCATTACATCTCTCAGCTTGATGCCTTTTCCCCGTCACTCTGGGCACAAAGCCTTCTCTTTCTGTTCCCCTTGCTGGAACTCACTCAGCTCTTCGACATCTCACCAGGCCTTCACTGTGCCTCAGATCTCAGTTCTGTGATCACATTTCTGTGCATCCTTCTCCCCAAGGGCAAACTCCTCTCTATACTGAAGCCCTTGTTTCAAATCTTCTAATTCTTTGCCCCGATGAAAATTCACCTGTTTTTACTGACAATGTTACATTTTCTCATTTCTCTTTGCAGTCTTCTGCCCTGGTTCAAGGAAAGAGAAACATTTTGATGGTGTTTTCCGTACTATGTGGGCTATAGAGGGGTACCATTTGTCAAAGAGCTATACCGGTGTTACTGAGTGCAAGTGTTTTTTGCACCAAATGAGTAATTTTGTCTCTCTTGCTCTCTCTCTCTCTCTCTCTCTTTTTTTTTTTTGCCAGACTTCTTTTCTTTTTTTGAGATACAGTCTCGCTCTTTTGCCCAGGCTGGAATGCAGTGGCACTATCTTGGCTCACTGCAACCTTCACCTCCTGGGTTGAAGCAGTTCTCCTGCCTCAGTCTCTCAAGTAGCTAGGACTATAGGCATGTGCCACCATGCCCAGCCCTCTTCTTTTTAAAAAGTTAACATTGCTTTGGCACCTTCCCTGAAGAGCCTCTTGTGGGTTATGTGATGTATTCCTGCAGAGTGTTCCCCTGGGAATGTGCCTTATAGCTGAGGTCTAGGACAACCCCATTGCGCTGTTCCTTGCATCTTCATTAGGATGGGAACTAAACCCTACCATGGCTTTGATACTTCTAAACAGATATTCTCCTCTCCATTTCTAGCCTGCTTACTTCACTTGGTTTGGTGAATAGAGTTATGATGGTATCCTAAATCTAGATATACTTTTTGCTTTTACATTGTCTGTTGTGTGCATTACTTTTATATCACCTTTTGAATATCCACATTTAATAACCTACCCCTGCACATGTACTCAGTTATTCTTTTAGGCCCTAAAATATTGTATTATTTTCCATCACTTAATAGCCAGCTAAGCCATATTCAGCTGTAAAGAGCAGTTCTAAATCTCCAAAGGCTCAGAGCAATTTGCAGAAGCAGGAATTTAGTCTAACAAATTGTTTTTCTTAAGATAAGTAACATAGTCTTAGTTTGGCTCTTTTTAAAATGCCTTGTGAAACAGCGGCCACTCTCTGAATATTGCTGTTGACGCCCTCGTAGCATCAAAGGAGGGCAGCATGCTCTCAGCTTGATGGCTGCCAGACCTTTAAACAATTTCTTGTCCCAGTTTTCTTTTCTTTATACCTGTTTACAGCTAAAATGTGGTTGCAAATTATGTAAATGTAGCATAATAGCCTACGTTCTTCTTGTAAGGAGCAATAAGCCAAACTTATACTAAACAATCCCATAACCCTTCTCAATACCCATTTGTAATTACTTCCATAATTGGATTATCAGAAATTATTGTCACATGTGAAGTCTCTTCATTAGGGATATGGGTTGTCAGGGAGAGCGCATGATTTTTTTATATTTTTGTCCCACATATATGACTTTGCATAAACAACTCCTTGTTACCAAAATTAATATAGAAGAGAGTTTATAAAACTTGATTCGGCACCATAAACTCCAAGATATAATTGTTTCTCATGTTCTTTAAAACGTGTTATTTCTTTTTTTCTTTTTTTTTTTTTTGAGACACAGTTTCACTCTTGTTACCCAGGCTGGAGTGCAATGGCGCGATCTCGGCCCACTGCAACCTCCGCCTCCTGGGTTCAAGCAATTCTCCTGCCTCAGCTTCCCAAGTAGTTGGGACTACAGGAATGTGCCATCATGCCCAGCTAATTTTTGTGTATTTAGTAGAGACGGGGTTTCACCTTGTTGACCAGGATGGTCTTGATCTCTTGACCTTGTGATCCACCTACCTTGGCCTCCCAAAGTGCTGGGATTATAGGCGTGAGCCACTGCACATGGCCCAAAATGTGTTATTTCTAAACTGAACTTTATTTTGCTTAGCTAACAAGTTATTAAAAAATAAAAAAAAAAAAAAAAAAGCAACCCGAAGCAACATATCCTTCTTTTCTTTCCTTTTTTTTTTTTTAATGTTATTCCATCCTGGAATAATAATATTCATCAGCTAATGGAAAGTCAGGTACTGCAAATAGTACTAATGGAACTTACTAAATATACTGACTAGGGCTTTTTACTTTTTAAAAATTATAGTGAAGTACTTAATAAAGGATTCTCTCTTTTTTGGGCAACTCTTTTACTGTATGGAAGCATAAGTATGTTTCTCTTAATAGACTTTCAGCCTTGACTAACACTCTCCATGTTTTATAACTCCAGGTTGGCTAAAAGTAATAATACCAGATGACATATAATCGACACAAACATATTTATTTGTTGATTTAATCCTCTTGGGAGGCTATTTGGGGTAGTTTTCATTTTTGAAGTTGTCAATGGTAGAGAACGAAAATTAAAGCAAAACTACATCACGTGATAAGGAGAACAATTTTTAATTTGAGAAAATTTGCTCATGTAATTTTTTTTAATAGCACACTCTCTGTCAGAATATTTCTGGCCACTTTTGTCCCCAACAAACAAATATAAGGTTTGATTTCTAACTGTTCGTGGTCAAGCCTGTGACTGCAGCATCAATATTTAGCAGGCTACGTCCTCTAATGATATCTGTGATGGAAGGTGAAACATTAAAGAACCGTATTAGCAAGGCATGTGATATCACATTACAAATTAGCAGGGGTCCTCAGATGTGGACTGGAATCACCTGCAGAGCTTTAAACATGCTCACACCCATGTCCTAAATTCAGAGATTCCTAAGTTGTTTTAGAATGGGGCCCAGACATCAGCATTTCTGCAAAGTTCCCCACATCATTCTAGCACAGCCATGGTTGAGATCTATTTATATATAGATTCATTCAAGTACCTACCATCTTCAAAATGAATCTGGAAAGTTTTAACGAGAGTAATTTCTCTAGGAAGTCTTTTGTGGAATGGATTCATTTTAAATTGCAGAAAGATTTAGTAAGAAGACCAACAGAAAATCATGGTCTTGGCCAGTATATGAATAAATTAAAAAAAGATAAAGACTGCATAAGACTATATTAAACTGTATTATGCTAGTGTATGCTTTTCACTGAAATAGTCATACTGAGTTTAAAAATTATGCATATAAAATAATTATGGACTCATGGGGGCATAAGCAACTTTTATTAAGCTAATAGCAAAGGTTTACTTCTTTAAAACACACAGGTTACAAAACCATCTTTTAAATAAATGTTTAAAAATTCACTGCTTTTGGTGACAGAGATTTTATTTGCACAAGAATGACAAAAATAATACCTTCCTTCACTGTTCTTGGCACTGTCCATCTAAATCCCAGACTTAATGCAATGAATTGGAGATATTTTACCTCCTGACAATTTCACAGTTGTCTTTATCTGTTATCACTGGCATATAAGCCATATCTATTTTCCGATTTAGCAGTAGAAAAAATCTGGGGAAAATTAATTTAAAATATAATGTTTATTTTCTAGAAGCAAAACATTTCTATCTCTGAGCTCTGTACCATGTAGTAAAGTTATTTTAATCAGTTTGCCTCTTTTGACCTGGGGTGCTTTTTTTCCTATTTGATACCTTTATCATTGGTGAGTTTAGAATAGACTCATTTTAGTTGGCTTCAAGATAAGATACCAATGTCTAAATGATACATTCATGAAATAATAACACTCATATTTTGGTGACTTTTTGAATTTATGCTGTTATACAATACCACAAATTGTATAATCATAAGACTTTCACCTCTGTGGCCTATCAACTCCAAACTGCAGCTAAATGGATATGAAACTACTTGATAGTGTGGTAGTCTCATTGTTAGACTCATGGATGAGGAAAAGACCTGTGGATTTTTCTAACCTATTCTCTGCAAGATGAGGCTAATTTATCTCTAGGCAAACACCTTTCCCTGGGTCTCCCTGGGACTTATGTCATTCATGCTAGGACATTCTGTAGCATTTGGAAGATAACCATGGTCCTCAACGTTTGGCTATAGTTTTGTTTAAAAGTAGTAACTGGTTTCAGATGAAGCTTTGCGTAAGCTCAATTTCTAGAGTTCTATGAATATGTAAATAACATTAAATTTTCTTCCAGGCAAATGATAGATGAATCCAATAAGCTTTCTGGGTAGCATTCAATTTGCTATTATATGAGATAAAGGGTAAAAATCAAGCTAATTGATCAATTATATTTATTCAGGGTTCTCGAAAAAACAATTTGTTTTTCTTAATCCAAAACAAATAATTGTAATGACTGCTGTATACAGGTTAAGCTTCTTACTGAAGATGTCTTTTTGGGTGAGCCCTAGGGAAGGGTGTTTTACCCGTTCCTTGGAGTAAGGAGTCAACCTTACCCCAAGAGAAGGCCAGGGGAATCCACAGATTTATTCCCTTATCCATGAATCTGACAACGAGGCTATCAACATTATAAGCAGTTTTCTATCTAGCTACATTTTGGAGTTTGTAATCCACTGAGGTGAAAGTCCTGTGATTGCACAGGTAGCAAATTTGATATGACAGTATAATCTTAAAAAAAATCAGAAACATTAGAAATATGTCACAATTTAGTGAATATGTCATTTTTTAAAGAAAAAATAAAAAATAATAATTATTTATGAGGCCCCAAAGTTTTATATAAAAATGAAAAAGCTGTTTTAGAGTTAGAAATTACTGTAGCCTTCTGTCAAATCAGTCTTGACAACTGTTAAAAGACATTATCATCACAAATAGGGCAGCATTTCACTCTGTGTGTCAAATTTAATCAACATATATGGTAAGAAAGTGTGACCTTTTTCCCAGAGTGACACAAGCAAGAAGGTGGAATAGGAGTTAGTTAGTTTGTTTGTTTGTTTTAACTTTACTCCCCTCACAGAAATCCAACAAGCAACTATCCACAGGCAGGAATACTATTCCAAATATTCAAGAACTTGGGAGTGAGGCTGAGACAACCCCTTGGACTGAAGAACTGAGAAAAGCCACAATTGAATGGTAAGAGAAACTGTTCTTTTTGACCGTGCTGTACCTCTCCTAAACTGGTGCAAAACTATGTACAGAGAATTCACTTGGATCTATGATTTCGACATTGGGAAAAGTGAGTTTGAGGTGGGCATTCAGGTTCCTTACCATTTTGGGACCCTTCAAAGAAACGTCAATCCCACAGGAGACTTTGGGAGTGTTGGTAGGGGTAGATCACCTCGAGTCAGTTAGAAACAAAGAATGGGGGTGGTGCTCACAACTACCAGCACACAGATCTGAATGGTGGTTCTACATTCTAGCCAACAGAAGTGCCACACCAGAGAAACTAGCCAACAGTGTCATGCTGTAGGAAACACCATCTGCAAGTCTTCTAGGCTTGAATTCCTAGCAAGCTTTCTCACATAGCCCATGTGCTCTTAAGTCAATAATTATCTATGGAGGGAGGATCTGCCTGGCACTAGCAGTGGAGAGGTACTCCAACTACGTTCTGGTGCTCACATGAAATCTTGCCCAGTTTGGGAGGGAAGCAACTCCATGTCAGTAATTACTCATGGACACAGTATCTTATCTGGTCCTGCCCAAACCTAGCAGTGGAGAGGTGATTCAACTAAGCCCTGATGCTTTTATTATGTCTTCCCCACGTCAGGAGGCAGCTTCAGGTCAGTGATTACCCATGGGAAGAGCATCTGGCCACCACCAAACCTTGGTGCTCTACTCTATCCTAGACCAGCAGGTAAGCCCAAGTCCACACATATCTATAGGGCATATCATCTGGCCTTGTCCATCTTGTGTGGGTGAGCAAAAACCACAGAAATCTCACCTAGTATGGGAGCCTGTCATATGGCCATGCCCAACCACAGGTTCCAAACAACAGTTCTGCCAAGTCAGGGAAGACAAATTGCAACTCTACCTAAGCAGAAATGACCGCAGAGCCCAACCAGCAGCATCACCTGATGGCAAAGTTCAGCTAGTGATTTCACTGATCACAGAGCACAGCCAGCAATACTATTTGATCTTAGAGCACAAGAAGCAACCCAGCCCAATTATAGAACCTGACACCAAGCAAAGGCTGCCAGCTACCCATCTGGAATCTCAGGGTAGACTAAATAGTGAAGAACTATAGCCACCAAAAGAATACCTGCAAAGGCTGGAGAATGTGGCCTTCTCCTCAAATGCACAGGCACCGACTTAAGGATACAAGATAATAAAAACTTAGGCAGCATGACACCAACAAAAGAAACAAATAAAGCTTGAATAATAGACCCAGAATAAATGGAGATCTATGAAATGACTGACAAAGAATTTAGAATAATCCTCTAACAGAAATTCAGGGAATTGCAAGAAAATACAGATAGAAAGTTAAATGAAATTTGGAAAACAGTTTATAAAAAAAATGAAAAGTTTGACAAAAGAATGGAAGAAACAAATAAAATATCAAATGGAAGTCATAGTGATAAAGGATACAACAACTGAACCAAAAATGTCAATAAAAAGCTGCAAAGCAGACTGGGCATGGTAGTACATGCCTGAAATCCCACTACTTTGGGGGGCTGAGGCATGCTAATCACTTGTGTTCAGGAGTTCAAGACCAGCCTGAGCAATATGGAGAAAACCTGTCTCTACAAAAAAATACACAATTTAGTTATAATGATGTATCCCTGTAGTAGCAGATATTCAGATGCTGAAGTGGGACAACTGCTTGAGCCCTGGAGGTTGAGGCTGCAGTGAGCCATGATTGCACCATTGCAATCCAGCTTGAGTGACAGAGTAAGACCCCATTTCATAATAAACAAACAAACAAACAAACTTTAAAGCAGACTTAGGCAGCAGAAAATCAGTGAATTTAAATGTACGACATTTGAAATTATCCAATTAAAGTAGTAAAAATCGAAAATGAAAAAGAGTGAGGAAGGCATATGAAAAGATGAGATATTTTATGTGAGCCTCATGACCACCCCAAAAGTGGAAACTTACAGTAGTTTCACAAAATGGAAAATAAAGGCTTTAAAGCTATTACCATATAAATCATCAAACAACAAAGGAAGACAGCAGGAGAGGAAGAAAAAAAAGAAGGGACCTAAACAACAATCAGGAAACAAATTACAGGACAGTAGCAAGTTCTTAGCTCAGTAATTACCTTGAATATACTTGGATTAAATTCTCCAATAAAATGATACAGAGTGGCTGGCTGGATTAAAAAATAAATAAGATCTAACCACATGCTACCTCTAAGAGACTGACCTTACCAGGAAGGACACGTGAACTGAAAGAGAAGGGATGGAAAATGTTATTCCATAAAAATAGATACTAAAAGAGAGGAGGGATAACTAATCTACATCAGACAAAATATAATTTAAGTAAAAAAATACAATAAAAGAATATAAAGAAGTTTATTACATGACAAATGAGTTAAATCATCAAGCAAACATAAAAATTATAAATATATGTGCACTAAATATTGTAGCACTGAAATACATATATAAATAATTCAGTGATCTGAAGGGAGAGATAGATTGCAATACTGTAATAGTAGGGGAATATCAACATCACACTTTAAACCATGAGCAGATCATGCAGATGGAAAAGAAACACTGGAATTGAATTATACTGAAGATCAAATAGACCTAACAAATATGTACAGAACATTTCATCCAACAATGGTAAAGTACACATTCTCCTCAAGTACATATGGAACATTCTCCAGATAGATTACACATTAGGCCACAAAACAAATCTTAACAAATTTATGATGATAAAAATAATACATGTGATAAGAGATTATCATCCAAAATAAATAATGGATTCAAACAACTCAATAGCATGAAAACAACCCAAGTTATATGTTGGCAAAGTACTTGAACAGTCATTTCTGAAAAGAAGATATGTAAATGGTCAATAGGTACAAGAACAAATGCTCAGCATCACAAAATGTTAGAAAAAAATGAAATCACAGTGAAAGAGCCAGGCATGGTGGCATGTACCTGACAGGAGGATCATTTGAGACCAACCAGGGCAATAAAGTGAGGCTCTGACTCTGAAAAAAAAAAAATACAAATAAAAATAAATCACATAATCCTATCACCTCATACCTTTTAGAATATCTTTATCAAAATGATGAAAGGTAAGTGTTGGAAAGGATATGAAGAAAAGGGAACTTCTGCATATTATCCATGGGAATTAAATTAGTACAGACATTATGGAAAATATTATGGAGTTTCCTCCAAAAACTAAAGATAGAAATATCATATGACTCAGTAATTCTACTTCTGGGTATATATCCAGAGGAACTGTCATCCGTGTCTAAAGGATGTTCATTGCAGCATTGTTCACAATAGCGAGACATGGAAGCAACCTAAGTGTTCATCCATGGATGAATGAATAAAGAAAAGGTGGTATATATACATATATACATAATAAAACATTCTTTGGACTTACAAAAGGGGGAAATCCTGTCACTTATGACAACATGGATGAACCTGGAGGACATTACTAGGCTAAGTGAAGTAAGCCAGGCACAGAAAGACAAATACTCTATGACTGTACTTTGAACTCACAGAAGTAGAGAGTAGAACAGAGGTTATCAGAGGCTGGGGTAAGGGTAAGGGTTGGGGAGGGAAGAAATGTGAAGTTACTGATCAAATGTTACCAAGTTTCAAACAGACAGGAAGAGTAGCATTTAATATCTATTTCACAACAAGGTGCCTATAGTCAATAATAATCTATTATATATTTCAAAGTAACTAAAAGAATAAATTTCAAGTGTCTTACCATGAAGACTGATGGGTAAGCAAGGTGAAGGATATGTTAATCAGCTTGATTTAATCATACCATATTGTGTAAAATATACCAAAACATCACATTATCTCCCATAAACATATACAATGATTTATCATTCAAATATGATAGCAATAATAAATGTTTAGATATTAATTTTTAAAAAGTGTGACTTGAAAGAGTGTCAGAGAAATTGGAAGAGGTAACAAGAGATAAGCTACTTTTGACTATCCTTGGGGAGAGAGCTTTTTGAATTAAACCTCTAAACCAATGCCCAGTAAACCAAGTGGAAACTGAGTTGCTCAGAATTGCCTTTGATGAGCTGGGAGCAAATTGTGTAATATAGAGTGGCTGAATGGATAAAAAAAAAAAAAAAAAAAAAAAAAAAAAAAAAAAAAAAGATCTAACCACATGATACCTACAAGAGACTCTCATTACTAATAATGAAACAAATTGAAAGAGAAGGGATGGAGAAAGGTTTCCCATGCCAATGGGAACTGAAAGAGAGCAGGGATAATTAACTTACATCAGACAAAATAGAATTTAAGTAAAAAACAGTAAAAAGAGACAAGGAATTTGAAATCACTTATTTATTGTTGTATAAGTCAACCAGCGAACTATTCTAAGTACCATAAAGAAAATGTCTCCAGCAAGTTCTCATGCCATCCTTGGTAGTCTGGCCATCACTTGCTTAGTAATGCAGCATATCCATGGGCCTCTGGAGCTGCTTGTGTGAAAACAGGCCTGATTCTGCAGTAGAAAAAAAAAGCTGAGCTGAAAAACTGAAGATTTCATTCCTGACCCAGCTTTTCCCTGCATATACTGGTTGGCTTTCAGACACGTGAGTGACATCTTGGGGCTCTGTGTCTTTAAGCTGACATTGGTTTGGGTGGTGGATTGTGTGGCCTTTAAGGACATTCCACTTCTGGTACTCCTTGATTCTAAATTCCATTTATTCTGTTCCATTCTTTTATTTTTCTCTCTTTTGTTGTTGACTTTCAAGTAACCAGTTATAGATGTAGCTCCAAGTGACGCATTTTTTTGTAAAGATAAATTTCAGTTTGAAGTCTAACCAGGTGATGATTTTTGATATAAAACCAATTTATTCTTCATACACTGAAGACAAATATGTACTGCTTTGGAATGATTGCTGTTAGTTATGAGAAGAGATTGTGCAGCCATGGAAAAAGTATTCATTATCCATAAACATTCACCTGCTGGTTTTCTTTTAGTTTTTA